CAGCTCAGATCTACAAATTCTTCTATCTTTGATTTTGGTAACTATGCATTGCATTTCTACAATTTGTGCATATTAGGGCCGTTTTTCTTTAGTACCTCAACATGGTGTCATACCAGTTAAAATTTTCTGTTCATCCCTGTTCTTTAGGTGATGCGAATTTTTTCCTTTATGCTAAATGCACATAAGTTTTGAGTTTTCTATTTGTTCAATTCCGTCCTGTCTTGTGCTTTATGCAGTTTTGCTGTCTAGTCCAAGAGAAAAGGGCAATTTTGTATTGGGACAAGTTTTGCTGATGTAACTAATTATCTGAAAAAATGCAGTGAATATATTATTGATCTGATGGGTGCTCCTGGGACACTAATTCCTGCTGAAGTACCAAGTTGTCACCTCCTAAATTCTGCACTGGATGTAAGGGACTTTGCTGATGTTTCTGAAGCCTCTCAATGTTCATATTTGCTGCTTGACAAAGGATTTAGAAATGTGGAAGCTTCAGCTGCTCTAGATACAGGCCCTAAAGTTGGTGCCACGAGGTCAGCGGAACTTGTCTGCAGTCAGACAAATGAAGATGAGAGGAACCTTGCTGGAAGAGTTGTCTGTGAGAGATCTGAACAGGAGTTTGGGAAGCTTCTTCCCTCGGCACCTAAATCTAGTGAAGTTTTTTCTGGCATTCATGAAAAAACATCATCAGCACAAAAGAGAAAGGTTAAAAATGTTTCTAAGTATGTTATTAGTGCAGCAAAGGACCCGGAATTTGCTCAAAAATTACATGCTGTTTTGTTGGAGAGTGGTGCATCACCTCCTCCAGATTTATTCATGGATATTAATTCACAGGATATTGGTGAACAAAGTATGCATGAACAAGTAGTGAAAGGCACAAATGCCGATGCCACTGCTAGCTGCCAATCAAATGAGTTGTCAAGCAATGAGCACTGTCTTGTACCCCCTGGAATGGAGTCTTTGGAAAATACTAATTCAAATCTTAGACAAAAGCAAATGGCTAAGCATCAAAGAGAGTTGGAAACGAATACCATAAAAACTAATGTTGCATCTTCCTCTGATGCTTCAAATGAGGGATTTCTTCTTGTTGGTAGTACAACTAATGATTGGATACAAGTTCGTGAGCCTTCCTTCTGCTCTGCTGCTGAGTTTTGCCAAATACAGCCAGAAAATGTCTTGGCTGCGGTTGAGAAACTGATACAAAGGACTTCTGATACGGATTTCAGTAAAGAATCTGCATTGGAATTGATAGAAACCACAGATAGTGACTTGCATCTGGTTAGCAATGGTCACAGTGAGAAGGTTTATCCTATGCTAAGGGAGGTTTCAGAGTGGGAAATTCAATGGGAGGATCTTCAAATTGGTGATCGCATTGGTATTGGTAAGGTCTCATAATAGCACAATTAATCTTGTTCATTTCTATACATGTAAGGCTATGCTTTCTATTATTCTTTTATGTTTCGGATATCGTATTTCAATTATTAATGTGATACAGTTTGTAACACAATTACAAAAATGTTGGCCAGGATGTCCTGGTGTTTCTTTTTTATTGGCTGGACATATAGTGTGAAAAGCTGAGTCTAATCAGCAGTAGATAGATGAGTTATTTGACAGTGCATCCTACTTTCAGCTTAACCTATCAATATATTATATTTCCTGGCTATTCTGGCATTCGACTTACAGTTCTATGAGTCAATCCAGTATGGTTCACATTCTATCTGAACAGGATTGTGCAAGCCTGCTAAACTTGATAGCTGCAAATGATGTTTGCGAAATAGGTTAAACCTGCTTTTTGGTGCAATAGATTTAAGAATAGGAGCTACCTTTGTTGATTGATTCCTTTTTATATTTATGTTTAATTGGATCTCCAAAGTCATAGAATGTGGTACTTGCTTGAATGTGGCTTGACTTTTCTCTACCAGTTTTTGAATATGCTTAATAGATGAACTCTTTTCTTGCAGGATCATATGGTGAGGTCTACAGAGCAGATTGGAATGGCACTGTGAGTTACATTTGCTATTACTCCATTTTATTTCATGGAACTTGTAGGGGTAATATACTACTTGATGATATGATGACCACAATTATGGTGCTGCATGCAAAAAATTTCAAAAGTTATTAATCTTTCACTGAGCAGTGACATTGACATTGTTTATGCCAAGTTTGCTAGTAGGAAGAGAGACTAGGTCACTATGATTGAATAATTGTGGTACTGTGTGGTGCAAACTTACTTAAATCTAAAAAATCTGACTATTATAGTAAGTCTACTAAGAGCATCAGTGTTAGTGTCTAGTAAATAATTCTTCTAGTGATTGATAACAGTATGTGGCTTGTTCCAAAAGTCTCTTTAATGCCTTCTAATGGAATTCTCTTTGTGACTGTTTGTCTAATTGTCTTTTTGGTTCTTCAGGAGGTTGCTGTGAAGAAGTTTTTAGATCAAGACTTCTCTGGTGATGCATTAGTTCAATTTAAATGTGAAGTAAGCCCCCATAAAATAACTTCTTACAGCTTCCTCTCATGTTTCCTGTAGAACTGAATGAATTTATATTGTGATCATCTATGTTTGATGACCCTTTGCAGGTTGAAATCATGTTAAGGTTGAGGCATCCAAATGTTGTTCTTTTCATGGGAGCTGTTACTCGCTCCCCACACTTCTCTATACTTACAGAGTTTCTCCCCAGGTTGATTTTCTTTGTAATCTATATACTTCTCTCTTTAGTCGTCAATGTTTTCATCATTAGTACGTTAACATTTGTTTGGACGTTCTTTTTTCATTTGTTATGGGTATTTAGTGGGCATTTTAAACTTCATGGTGGTTTCCCTCTGGTTTTAAAGGATGAATCCAGATAATCACGTTATTGCTTGAACTCTGTTCTCACGGGAATGTTGTGTGCATATTTTGTCACTGATGTCATATTTGTAGATATTATGTGTCGGACTCACTTCCTTGTGCCCTTTTTGATGCATACTAAGTGCACATATTTTGTGCTTTGCTGTGTATGAAAACAATGAATCCTTCTCTAGATGTGTGTCTTTTTATTCAGATAAATACTACACCTCTCTTTTGTTTTTGTGGTTTCTGCCAAGACATTGATTAATTTAAAAGGACAAGGTTGGCCATCCTGTCTTACATTCTTCTTGTTCCTTCCTTATTGTTATGCAGGGGAAGTTTGTATAAGCTACTGCATCGACCCAATCCTCAACTTGATGAGAAGAGACGAATGCGAATGGCTCTTGATGTGGTAGGAATCACAGGGGAATAAATTATTTATCTTTTGCTTCATATTTTGCACTAAAGTCTTCCTGTCTTCCTTTTCCTTTCACACTTCTTCCCTGCCTGATTGTTTTTCTATTTAACTGAAGCTTTCTTATTGTTAGCAGGCTAAAGGAATGAATTATTTGCACACAAGCCATCCTACTATAGTGCATCGAGATTTGAAAACACCAAATCTCCTTGTTGATAAGAACTGGGTTGTAAAGGTGCTTATCTCAAATCTAATTTCTGGCCAAAAGTCTTGATTTTGCTCATAGTTTATTTAAGCAACTTTACAGATTGCTTTATTTTCTGCCAAAAGATGTCTATTCAATTTTTCAAACATGTTTGCTTCTCTATTCAGGTCTGTGATTTTGGGTTGTCACGCATGAAGCATCATACTTTCCTGTCTTCGAAGTCTACTGCTGGAACGGTAGTATTACTAAAGGATAATCCTCATGTTCACTTGGTGTTTTGCCTTACTTTTTTATTTATCCAAATCTGTTGTCCTCTTTTTATAAAGTAAAAGTTTGCTGTTGGACTGCAGCCTGAGTGGATGGCCCCAGAAGTTTTAAGGAATGAACCGGCCAATGAGAAGTAAGTGACTTTAACTGCACGATAGCTTGCATGTGTTACTTTTTGACATTTCTATTCTGTTTCTTATGCAAATAGACTGGCTTGCTTGCAGGTGTGATGTGTACAGTTTTGGTGTGATATTATGGGAGTTGGTTACTTTACGAATTCCCTGGAAGGGTTTGAATCCAATGCAGGTTGTTGGAGCTGTTGGATTCCAGAATAGGCGTCTAGAAATTCCTGAAGATGTTGATCCAACGGTTGCACAGATTATACATGAATGTTGGCAAACGTGAGTTCTAGACGTTGTTTATGTCACATTTTTCTATATCAGGGGAATGGTTATATAATCCTTTCTGGTGATCTTTGCACCAACTCAATCTCTTTAGAATGTTTAATTGGTCTCTGATTTCTGGGCACGTGTATAATCATCTGACAATCTTTTCCTTGCATTAAGTTAAAGAGTTTGTGATTAAAGTCAATAAACCTTGTTAGTCAGCTTTTATGGTTAAGTCATTGCTTGTGGCTATGTTTGTGTCATATAAATCAAACAGTGATAATGATTCTAATGAGATCTTACTATTTTTGACAGTCTGCTAATTGAAAATTTTGCATTAATCCTTCTTGGTCTGTTTTCTTTTTGCAGGGAGCCGCATCTACGACCATCATTTGCACAGCTCATGTCCCGTCTGCGACATCTTCAACATCTGTATATTGAAAGGCCAAATTCCACAAATCAAATTATAGGATGATCAAATGCATTGTTGATGTAATAAGTACTTGATTAGCTATCTCCTGGCTCAAAGAGCCTGGCAGCCGGAAGGTTTTCCTTTTATGTGCAAAGAAAGTTAAGAGTTAGGACTGGGAAAGTGTTGGCCCATTCGAAGTGGGGGATCAGCACTACCCATCCTGAATAGAGTGGATTCCTCTTTAAGTAAGCACAGCTGCATAAGAGCAGTGGAGGATACCACTCAAAATTTGTGTTTAGTATTATGAATAGGTAGCATCTGTCAAATGTATGAAAGTTCCCAAAAGGGAAAAAAAAAAAAAAACAGAAGAAAAAAAAGAAAGAAAAAAGAAAATAAATAGTCTTCCAAGTTCTTCACCTATTGAGGTCTTTGTTTTGGGTAAGAAATCCAAATCCCAGGAATTGTAAACATCTAATCTCTACAGCTCATTGTGGAAACCAACAAAAAAAAAAAAAAAAGGAAAAGAGAAAGGAATTATTTGCATATAATGTGCTCCTTTATCTCTAATGTTCCTCTTTAACTTAAGGATATGTGTTGTAGTTTGGAATTTTTCCTTACCATTTTCAGAAAAAAAAGAGAAAACATTTGCTTTAAATATTTTCCCGGAGAGAGTAATTTTGTGCTAAGTGACGAACATCTATGTATGGAATTCTTCGTGTGCTTCTATGCACTTCAAATGTGAGTAATTTCCCGTCACGCTTAGACCAAAAAAGAACAGTAATTGTTTCCCTGATAATTAGATTTCACGAATTTCTTAAATGAAAGTTTTAATTGTTTTTTCTTTTCACCCAAAAAAAGTTTTCCTTAAATATAAAAATTTCAAAAAAAAAAAAAAATCTCGGCTACCAGGTGAACTACACAACCATGGCCACCATACTCCTCCACCTATCACTCAAACCAAGAGCAGCTACCGCCCCAGCCTTCCGCTCCCCGATCATACCATCCTCTAAACCCAGATTTCTCACTCTTCAACCCATCAAAGAAACTAATCCTATTACCAAAAAAGTTTCATCCTACAAAAATGGAAATGGCAGCAACACCCCTCCCCTCCCTGAAACAGAGTGCCCTGTTCCACATGAGCAACAACCCATGCACGAATACCAATCTCTCTCCACATCTTTCCCTTTCTCTTGGGCCTCGGGGGACCTTGTAGAATACTGCTCTCGCTTGTTCGTTACCGGTTTTTCTTTCGCGCTCTTAATTGGTCTACCTGTTGCCTGGTTCGGTTCAGTGGGACCCAAATCCGAGCCGTTGAAGCTAGTTCTTGCAGCGGCTTCGAGTGGTATTCTTGTGGTTACAATTGCTGTTTTGAGGATGTATTTGGGTTGGGCTTATGTTGGGAATCGCTTGCTCAGTGCAACTGTTGAATGTAAACTCCTTTGCTTTTTTCAAGTTTTTGTTTCGTTCAAAATTTTGCTCCTTTTGCTTTTCTTTGTTAAACAAAATTCCCCCCTTTTATGAATTGCTTATGGGATTTCTCTTTTGCATGTCTTGCAGATGAAGAAACAGGGTGGTATGATGGACAGGTATTGCTCATGTCTACTTTTATTCCTTAACTTTTGTTTTAGTTTAATTAATTGCCACTTCATTTTATGTTAATCTTCTGTTTTCTAAATGTGCAATGCTTCCACCTATTGGTAGCTACTTTCATGTAATGTTCTTGTTTTCTGTTTGGTGTTCTCTTGAATCCCTACATATATATGATCTTCCCCTTTCCTTCACATTCAAATCCAAGTAACTTTCTAAGTTTCTGCATGCTACGCAGTTTAAGTGATGATTTTTCCTCTCTGAAATGTTGCCACCTTTAACTAATTGACCCGTTACAAAGGCATTTGGCAACTATATTGCAATATGATGGATTACAGTATTTGACAGTCTTGGTTCAAAATTGATCCTTCTAAACTGTATACCCTGTACTATAAGAGGCTATTAGCCACAAGCAACTTCCTTCTTTTCCTGCCTACGTAATTGGCTGTAACCTAAGAATTCACTCAACCACTTAGATTCCTAAACGGTTAATTCCATGTCCCTACAGTATTTTGAGCAGTTGTGATTATTGACTATGCAATGTCAGTAGTTTGTTCATTAGATAGAAATAGCTTCTTGTAATTTGGGATTTTATGCAGTATGATTTCTTAATCCTCACAAATGAGGAAGGGATTGCTACCAAACCAATTTTACAGAAGTTTGTTGTTTTGGTTTTTCAAAAACTACTTCTTAAGGTTCAATCCCAGCTCCTTGCCATCATATAAGTTTTGAGACTTTCAGTTATAGTGAACAAATTTTAGTTAAATGAATATCTTTTGTGGTAGAAAGTAGTGGCTAATGCAGTTTACCTCAACAGATATGGGTCAAGACTGCGGAAGTTTTGGCACGTGACAGGCTTCTTGGTTCATTTTCAGTAAGTATTCTTATATTGGAGTTTTATTCAGGCCAGAGTTCTTCTTCTTCTTTCCCTCTTTTTTTATTGGCCTATGCTGCTGTAAGCCTTTTTTGACCATGCCTAAATCAACACAATAATTTTCCTCTGACTACTACTGACGAAATGACATTTTTATGAACTTTTAAGGCTGGTAAGAAGGTAATTTTTTTCCATTAAAAGAAAAAAAATGAGGTTCAGAATTTATGGCTCATTCCACGTCACGGTATTGTGATCAGCATTGTGCAGATATCTAATGACATGTAGTTTTCCAGGACTAGAAGTTCAGGGAATTTATTCTTGGGAAAATCTTCTTAATTTGAGAGATAATCCAATGATCGTTGCACTTAACACCATAAAAAACAATTTTTTTATTTCTACACACTTAAAAGCTATGCTATGAATTCCCTCCGCAGGTCAAGCCTGTGCTGAGCAGATTAAAATACACTCTAGTAACCCTAGCAGTATCTTTGCTTGTATGCGTTCTTCCCCTCATAAATGTTGATCTGGGAGGCCAAGAGGGTTCCTACACGACATCTAAAGATTTTGGGGTTAGAGCTATACCAGGAATTTACAATGATGATTCTGCAAGATCATTTGAGCCGGATGCATTCTGTGGTGAACCTGGTCTTCCCTAGTTCACTATCTGTGCAGCTGGTAATACTTTGTATAGTCCATTAATTTATATATTCAAGAGCACATCCTATCTCCTTCAAGTCCTTCATGTATAGTTTTATTCTATTTGCTGCATTTTAGCTGTAATTGCAGTAGCTTGTATATTTCTTTTTCCCTGTCCTTCAAAGCTAATGTTAGGAAATGAAAATTTTGAAATATTTAAGTTAGAAAAGGAAGAATAGAATCTGTTTCCGATGGATTATTGTCTTGGTCGGTAGCTGATTGCATGTGAATGCAACCTGTAAGAAGGTTATGCGCGAGAAAGTACAAGGATGAAGTGATTTGAATTTAAGCCCTATCCCTGTCCTTTCTCTGCCGCACTGATCCCCTCATTTGCGAGTTTTTTTTTTCCCCAAACTTAAACTTCTACTGCGTGAAGCTACCCAACGTTTTGCCAGACAGACAACTTAGTGTTGAAAGAACTAAGGTGATGCGGTTATCTTTGTTCCCTTCATCAGGGTTTTTCAAAAAGAAAAAGAAAGTGAATGATTAAAGATAGCACCATTGAAATCTTAGATGTATCGTGTACCCATTCTGTTAATATCTGAGGTCAAAGTCGGTGCCCCTCCCCATTTTGCTTTCATTCAAAGATTTTTCTCGCTTGCAATCCTTTTTGACTTGAATACTTAAATTTACCTGCTCCCTTTAGCCGGCAACGTTTATATCCTTTATATCCTCATCCAAGATTATTCTTATCTGCAAAAGGGATGTTTTCCACATCAATAAATCTTGGAGAGAGATTGAGTTACTGAACGCAAGACTGCCAAACAAATTGATACCCAAAATCTTCATAAAAAATTCACAAATGAGCAGCATGTCTGCTCTATCACAATGGCTTGAATTTGGAGACAACTCAAGCTTATACAAGATGGATCCCCTGAAATTGCATTAACTTTGATGCTTGGCTAGGAAACCTGATATCATGACAACGTTTTTCAGACAAAGCAAATCCCACCAACAGCTTCTTTCTCCAAGTAAAACATGGTTCTGGCATGATCGGATAGGGATATCCGGGTTTCAGAAGGTAAAAATGTTTGATTTTGTAAAATTTTTTCCAAAAAGTTAAAATGGTAGGTTCATGCACCTGACCATCATTATTTATCCTTTACACTAAAAGGTTAGAACCCTTATTGATTTCGTGCCAATATTTAAGCTCACGTTACATATATTGTCCCTCTACACTGTATTTCACTATTAAATCAAGCACCATCCATCAAAATGTGACAAAAACTCAGCTTTTAGCGTGAAATCATCAACTACTGCTATAATTATAAAGTGGCCTGGTTTAAATTTTAGCTTTTCATGTGAAATTTAAGAATGATAAATATAAAAGATTGGGATATATGTTGATGAACAATTAAGACAACATTTTCAAGCAAAAGGAATTAGAAAATTATGAAGAAAGTTTGACGCAGCCTGGCAGCCATTCATTGTCCTTTTCTAGATTCAATGGAACATAATATTTCACATAAAATAAAAAAAGTGAAAGAGTGGCACTAAGCCACCAACCATGTCTACTCTTCAACAACAAATTGTATCCGACAAGTTCTCCTCCCATGTCCTAAAATTGCAATCATCCAACATAAATATTCCAGATAAAAATAGGAAAGAAAATGAAAGAGATGGAAAACCAGTTCCAATGGCCCCCAGAATGGTTTTTGATTTTGTGGAAAAATGGTGCAGTTTATGGCCAAAACCATAAGTAATGCTCACAGGTAGTCAAACATTGGTTAAGGTGTCATTTGGATGCAATCGACATTCGTGGATTTTCTTAAGTAATTATTTATTTTCAAAATTATTATTTAATATAAAAATAATTTAATACTTTAATAATTATTTATTAATTTTATAAATATTAAATAATTTAAATTTTTATCATATATATAAATTTTATTTAATATCTTTAAAATAAATTTTTTAAAAATATAATTCATTATTTTTACATATAAATACATATTTTATCATTAATTTTATTATCCCTTGTACAACAACCAATTTTACATCCGATGCTATTTTTAGTCTCAACAAAACTCCATCCATCTCAAAGATAAAACCTGGAAAAGGAAGGGAAACAAGAAACTCTTTAGTGGATACGACCAAGTGTAACCTTAAATCTTTGCTGCCAATGAGTTTAGAAAGAATAGCAAATAAACAGCATTAATTAAATGTAATAAATAATAAAATGAGAGGGGGTAAGGGTCCCACCCGAAAGTGAAAATCCGGAATGGTTCATGCACCTTGCCCACTTCCCTTGTCTTTCCCATTCCAAAACGCGAAAAATATTTCACTAATATTTTTTTTATTATTCTGATTAATTCCCAGCTTGATTTTTTGTCAGAATATATCAATTCAATCTTTGCTTGTTCATAATGAACAACACCACCACCCAACACCGGCAAAAACCAAAACCCAAAACAAAAACTAAAGTAATAACCTTTGTTCTTCTTTATCATTTCCTTTCTTTCCCAACCTTTAAAGATCTTTGCTTTGTTTCATTTTTCACCCCCATTTTTTGTTTTCAAGTCCTACAGCCTAGTTGTGCTTGCAGGTTAGTGAACATCTTTCATCATTGGTCAAAATTCTAGATTTTTCTTTGAGTTTTTTTTTCCTGTTCTTCTTTTCTTGATTGAATATGCATTACATGGAGTTAAAAATCTTGTTTTGTTTTAATGTGTTATGATATAGTTTCTGGGGTTTGCTTGGTTTGGCTGAAGAAGTGATTCAGAACATATGGGAAGTGAATTTGATTAGTATTTTTGAGTTGGTTGAATTGAGGGCTGTTAGGTAGAGAAAATGGCTTGTAAAAAGATTCATTTCTGCAGATTTCCCAGTAACAAAATGGAGCATTTAATTTTATTGGTTGACTGAAGGAACAGGATCTGATACATTGGGTGAATGCTTTAGGTATATTATTTATTTGGAGCATTGAAGACATTGTTATGCTATCTGTAAAATTTGGGATTTTAGTCTTTTTTTTGCGCTTTTAATATTTTCCGGCCTTCTTGTCATAAGAAAGTGGGCATTGTTCTGGTTCTGTATATGAGGAAAAAATTATTCATCTTCTCGTTTTTTTAGAAGATTTAACTTCAAGATTCAAATTTTGCATTCCTCTATGCCTCTGAATTAGAAAGTTTTTAATTGCTTTGTCAATTAGTGGAGTCTTTCATGGTTGTTTTTAGTCGATGGTGAATGAAGGAGATTTTATCCGTTTGGTGCTTCTTCCACTCATAATGTGGATATTTCGCCAGTGACACCGTTGAACTCATGTTAACTCTCAGCTATGGGGGAATTTCAATGCCATAATGAGTCTTTATTTTAGAATGATGTTTCCAAATACAGGGGAGAAGATCTGGTTTGAGTTGAAGTAGATACAATAAAGGGCCAAAAAGGATGTTATTCGAGGTCTTGAGGTTATAAGGATGATAGCTAGATGCTAGGTCAATCAGGTTTGGCACCATTCCTATTTCTTGGAAGTGAGTGTGAGTGTTGAAATAGACAAGAATGTTGCATTTGATTTGGTGAATTCAAAAAGTTAGGATTCACGAATGTCCCAGTATCAAGGTAATGAACCTCCATTTATTCTATAGAATATTTTAGATCTCGATGAACTTTAAATTTACACAAAGGTTTGATGAACTTACTAAGATGTGCACTGCACTCATTTAGAAATTAAGCTGTTACTGATGTAATTCATTCACTTTGGAGTTTGTTCTATTCATCAACGAAATGAAATATGAGGAATGTCAAATATAAGACTGTTGTACCTCAATACGATTTTCAAATTATGGATGGTAATGGCTTGGATTGTCACCCAATTATGAATGGTAGTGTAAGTGCAAACTACAACAAAGTAATCCTTGTATGATAGTGAACATTAAGTTATTGAATTTCAAAATTTTGTTTGGTCGATCTGAAAGATGTTTTGTTCATTTATTTATGTTGATAACTATTCACCATGTATTGACATTTAGCAGTTCTTCAATCTTACCACAATTGTTTGCCTTCTTTTGTATGGCATCTACATGTTGGTATCATTTATTTCATTCTTTTTCTAAAGTAACACTATTATGTATTTTATCGTAGAATGAAACTACCGTCTTTGTGAATGGATAATTGCTTATCAAATTGAGAACATGTCCATTATGTCTAAGGGTGTTGTTTGAAATGGTGATGGTTCTCTACCTAGAATTGCACAGAGCCATATGCCGCGTGGAAGACTTCCTATAACGGATCTAAAAGCAGCTTGTGATATTGAACATATGAGTTCTACATCTAAAATTCAGCATGACCTGTGGCCTCTAGATGAAATTGATCCAAAGAAAGCAAAGTTTCCTTGCTGTCTAGTTTGGACTCCACTCCCAGTTGCCTCATGGTTGGCACCTTTCATTGGACATGTTGGCATTTGTAGGGAGGATGGAGCAATTTTGGACTTTTCAGGATCAAATTTTGTGAATGTTGAGGATTTTGCTTTTGGTGCTGCAGCTCGATATATTCAACTTGATAGAAGCAAGGTATAGTTTTGAGCAGATGTTCTGAATTGAACCTTTTACATCTCTCCATGTACACGTTGCCATCATAATGCTACCTTATTCTCCAAACTAGTAGAACTCTTTATTTGGAAACAATGATGCATTTCTATTTCTCCTCGTGTGCTTTTATGTGAGTTGATTTTTTTCATTTATGAAAAAGAAATTGAGCTGCTTAAAACAAGTAGTTGTTTTATTAACTATTTTTACTGTGGAATTAGTGTTGCTTTCCTCCAAACCTGGCTGGGCACACATGCAAGCATGGTTATCAGCATGCAGAGTATGGGACTGCAGTCACATGGGATGATGCCTTGCGGTCTAGTGTGCGTCAGTTCGAGCACAAGAGCTACAACCTCTTCACATGCAACTCTCACTCATTTGTTGCCAATTTTCTCAACCGACTGTGCTATGGTGGATCAATGGATTGGAACATGATAACTGTGGCAGCTCTAATACTTTTTAAGGGGCATTGGGTTAACAGCATGTCAATAATAAGATCATTCCTCCCTTTCACAGTAGTGCTCTGCCTGGGGTTAGTACTGGTTGGCTGGCCATTCTTGGTTGGACTATTTTCATTCTCTCTCCTCCTTATGGGGTGGTTTCTGTTGGGTACTTACTGTGTCAAAACCTTATTGGAAAGCTAGAGCTTTTTATTTTTCATTAAAATTGATTTTTTGTTAGTTGAAAGATGCATAGTTGGTACAGTTTGGTGTTTCTTTAAAAAACCTAGGTTTATAATATCTGACAGAGAGTGGCAGTAGGTTCCATGTGGAACTACTGGCTAATGCCAAGAGATATAATTTCTTCCCTCCGTCAAGAAACTGAATTGTAGATTTGCTTCATAAACAGAAATTGAACATTAGAATAAGACTGAATTAATGTTGTTTTCAGATGCAGATGTTATTGAGATTTCATTCTTATGTGAATGCCACTGGAACAAGACATTGCTTCATTTGAATATTTAAGTCCTAATCTGCCTCGAGAGAAGTTGAGCTAACTTGTCTCTAAGTCACTGAAGACATCATTCTGCTAGAATGTTTGTCAAATGGGTGTTTTGGATTTTTTTTTTCTAAAATTAAACACTCAATTAAACAGCTTTTCAGGAATCATGGCAAAAGCATTTGAATATAAACAATTTCAACAACAGTGACCCCAAAATAGGCCAATTAGGGAAATGACCGGTATCTGAGCGCCAGCGAGCCCGTGGAAAGGGCTGGCCGGGGCTGCCAACAGCACCATGGCTACATTAACCCAAATTTTTATCCTCTTAGGCTGCATTGTTGTGATTTTGAATTACCAAGAAGTTAGAGTAGGGACATCTATCGTCCCCTGAAGTTGGGACATTTTGTACCAGAATTAGCATACTACATTTTATCGTTTATGCAAGTTGCTTTCCCAAAAACCCCAAGCAAAGCATAAATGAACAACAATCACTTCAGCATTTGCACCCCAGCTCTCCAGCCAAGGAGGCTCAGAGATTGGATTCAATGAGAACTGAAACCCACTTAATTGTGAGCATATAAATAAATTCAGATCAAAACTGCAATTCTGATCATTAACATTAACTGGCTCCTGTCAATTGAGTGTAAGAGTAAGATCATGTCTGACTTACTCAAGGACAACAGTCATCTTTAAGTTGAAACAAAAATATAAAATAAAATAGTCAGCTTGAGTTGAGATAAGATCAAGAACAACATCACCAAAGAAAAAGGATTTCAAGAGTATAGGATGCTCGATAAGCTTATCACTTTCTTATTTTGAGGAGGTTGAATTTTAAGTCATGTAATGGAGACAAATAAAGTTCCCCTTATGCACCATACTTGGGCGCCTTCCAAAGCTTAAATGCTATCTCATGCAGCAACCTGTCAGCTGGTATGGTGAGATTTCCAGAATGCTGCAACGAAAAAGTATTTAATATAATAAGCAAAAAAGGCTGAAACAAGTATTAAATCAATAACACCAATATATACCATATTCTGGATGAATTATGCATGCAAAAGAACCCGTCCAAATTAAGAACATAGGATACCAAGGTAATTTTTCAAGTTACAAGGTACCATTTCACTTAAGTTATGAAATAAAATTGGAAAGAGGCAGGCTTGGAGACATGATGTAGTCAAAATTACTTTATAACCTAATCTAACAAACTATAAATAGAGCTTCATAAAGTATCTCACAGTGTCAATTTGTACCTCTTTGAAATCTTCAAAAGAAAATGACTCTACCATATCCTTGCGGGTTACAGCATACTGATATTGAGCAATTAACATGGGACTGTGGTGCCTGTAGACCATAAATTAGGTTTTTTATCCACACAAAGCGTCACAAAATGCAGAGTAAGTGTCCACAAAGTTTTCTTACCGAACATCATTTCTTGGACTTTCTCCTCTCATGTTGTAACTCTGTCGAGGGAAAAGTGCAGAAAGATGAGGATTCTTCTCAAAGTTTGGGCTCAAAATTGACAAATCAGGATCATCAGCCTTTGACACATAGCCATAGCCCATCACGAGGGACAAGTGTAGACGGGAACCAATTTCAGTTCCAGGCTGAGCTACAAGCATAATGGCACCAAGCAGAGCATTCATGAATTCCATGTCACTTGCAGTAGCTTTACCCTCTTCAACATTCAAATTCTCCCCAGACCCAATGTGCAAAATTACTAAATCAAACTGGCCGGATTCCATTATCTTTCCTTCTTGGAATCCAAGTAAGGTCAGCAATTCGGAAGCCAATTTATCAACTGACAATGCAGGGGGAGAATTGCTATTTCCATATAATCTATTCAAGTCCAATACACTGAAGCCAATTTTTTCTCCAAATGATTTCAAATTAGAATTGTTAGTGAATAGAGCAGCTCTCATTCCCATAAACCTGAAGTGAGATAAAGAAGCACGTTGGCTGGCATATTCTGAGCACTAATAATGAGAAGCAAGCAAGTGCATGACAATACCTCTCTGACATGGTTGGAATCACGGATGACTCCTGAGACTTTTGCCCATTCTGACAAAACCAAAGAGCATTAAAGAATTTATCATGAAATTTCACTTTCCAATTACCAAGAATAATATGTATCTTACCTTGTTAAAATATGCTTCACACGCATCCACCAGGAGTGCAAACTCTCTTACTATCCTAACATCCTCGCTTTCTGCAATCTAAATCCAAGTAAATCCCAATAATGGTGGATGAATAACAACAATTAGAAATGCCAAAAGAAGCATGGATTTAATTACTAAGAAAGTAAAGGGGAGCAAGTGAAAAAATGGTACCTGAATATAAAAATAAATAAATACAAATAGGAATGACAAGGAGAATAGAGATGAATTAGCAATGGAATGGAAAACTAACACAGAACCCATAAGCCTATTCTGCCAATGATCAAATAAAAGAACGATAAACTAAGCAACCCATTATTATATCAATCCCTTTCAAACAATTAATTTGCTTCTTAATGCACAAACAACCTACGATTTCGTTAATAACAGCGAAAACAATTAGCAAAAAATAGGTATTTTTCCCAACAATCCAAAAAAAAAAAAAAAAGAAGCAAAGAATCTCTCTTTCTACGTTTGCTTGTATCTTAAAGAGGTTATATCTTCATTACCCACTGCCTAAAGTGGGAGATGAAAAGGAAAAATGACAAGTAAAGGAAAAGAGAGAATGGGAACCTGAAGGAGGAGCATTAGGGAGGCTCAAGAAACCACAGTTGGCTTTAGATGCGAGAGAGTGGGGATGGGTATGTGATGGCTCAATGAAACGAGCCAACCCGTCCCCGTATAACACCAATCCTCGGCTTGGCTTGTCCGCCATTGCTGTTACTCAAATGCCCGAACAGGCTTGAAACAAAAAAAAAAAAAAAGAGAAAAGAAAGAGAAGGAAGGAGAGACGGAGAATCCTCTTTCTTTGGGAAGCGTGGATGTTTATATTTGGAGAATATTTTACACGTGGATCGCATTATAAGGGTAATTTCGAGGGAAAATATCAAAATATCATCTACAATTTAAAAAATAGTCCAAATTTTCATTATTTTATTCAAAGTGAATAATAAAGTCTCTACTAAATCTGTAATTAAACTTTAATGATTTTAAATTAATTTAAAAAATATAAATTAATTAAAAAATAAAATATTTGAATAAATATTAATTTTAAATTCAATTAAAGATATATTTATCACTTTTGAATAAAATAATAAAACTTTTCGTTACTTTTTTAATAATGAAGATTTTTTTTTCATTTTAATATTTTAATAAAAAATACAAAACAAAATAAAAAAATTTGCGGCTATAGAAGTTATTTCAATGATTAGACAAAGAAAAAAGATAGGGTGGTAGGGTAATACAAAGGACTTGTTCTCGTTGGTTGAATCCATGGCTTCAAACAACCATACATCAGAAACAGAGAGCTTTTGTCCTTGAATCTCTTTTTCTATCTAATGTATTTAACTGCGAAATCTTTCTGTCTCTGAAACCAGGTAGTACTGTTGTTTCAGCGTTGATCTGTTGTTTAGAGAGCGGATTGAGAACTCTCGCTACGAGGGATTTGGACGGTGGCTTAAGAGGATCCGATGCTGTAAATAATTTATTAATATTTTTAAATTATTCGAATTTAATTTAAATAAAATTTAAATTTGATTTGATTATTATTAAATCGAGTTTGAGTAGTTCGATTCATAGATCGAGTTGAATTCGAGTATTTTTATATTTGATTCAAGAAGTTTATAAATTTAATCGAATTTTTATATTTGAAATTTTTTTAATATTTTAATTAATAAAATATTTTGAATTTAAATTCGAATATAAATAATCGAGCTCTTATCGAGTATAAAAATTAAATTTATTTTTATATATTAATTGAATAAATTTAAGTAGTTCAATTACGATCATAAATCGAACTTAAATTAAAAAAATAAAACTCAATTTAATTTGAATCAAATATCAAACTTCGAATTGAGAATTAAATTTAAATTTAAACTTTTTAATATTAATTCGATTCAACTTAATTACATACTTAAAAAGGACCATTTGATTAAGAAAGATCGAGTCCTACTAGGCTTAAGAAACTGAAAAATAGTAAATTCGATACATGATATATTCTGACCCGAGACAAACTTAAAAATAAATAACTATTTAAAACTAATAAATTTTTATTAATTTTAATTATTTATATAACATATAATTATTATTTAAAATAAAAAAAATAAATATTCAAGCGCAACACGTGATAACAAAATCTAATACTTTTAAAATGAAAATTGATTATTTTTATAAAAAAATTATATGAAATAATTATATTATGTTAATATATATTTATTTTATTTAAATTGTGTCATATAATTATATTATTAAAAAATTAATTATTTGTTATAAATAATTAATTATTTATTAAAATAAATATTTATCGTTTAATTATCACATATGATATGTAATAAATAATTAATTTTTTTACTAATTTAATTATATGACATGATTTAAATGAAAAAATATATTAAAATGATATAAATGGTTTATACAATACTTTTTTTTATTCTAAAATAAATTGATAGTAATTCTAATAAAATGAAAATTTTCCTTCATTAGCTTTAGCTTAATCAATAAAATATTCGTTACATTTGATGACTTTAAACATTTTCAAGTGCTAGTTTAGCATCGAGGTGAAAATTAATTTTTACATTCAAATTTAATTTTTTATTTAATTTTAATGTTAATAAATGGTTGCTTTTGTATTTAATCATAATTTAATGGGTAAATTAATTTTATTATTTGTATATTTTTAATTATTATTATTTTATATATATATTTATATTTCAAATCATCATTGTTTTTCCTTTTCAGTATATCAAAAAAATTAAAAATTTTAAATCATATTTTTCAACATACTTTTAATCGCATTTTTTAATAAAAAGTTTTATAACCATAATAATAATAATATTAAATTAATTCTCAGTCCCAATGATAATATTAATCAATTCCATTCATAATATAAGACTTAAGCTAACAAAATCAACTTTGAATGACAACGTGTCAAATTTCAATTTAAGTGATGTGGATAAATAAATCTAAAAAAAAAAAAAATTAATATAGCCTTGAAGGTTTTTTTTTTTATTTTTTTCAAAATTTTAAATCTTATGATTTAATAATGTGTGCTATAAAAATAAATTTTTTGAAATTATAAACATAATAAAATTATAATATAATCAAATATTATATTTATAAATAGTTAAATAATTAATTAATGAATTAAAATATAATAAAATAACCTAACTTATGCCCACAATTAAACTAAAACAAATAAAATAACCAGTAAATCCTAAGATCAAAAACCTTGCAATGCATGCTAATATCGAGCCGCTTCCGCTGGACTGGACTAAGACCTTGCTCCGCAATTGTTTTAATTTTTTTAGAACCCATTTACAGTTTTCCTTGGGCCGAGAATGGGATGGACTAACCGATAGGCAAATGCCATTCTTCTGCCACGTCATCTTTATCTAAACCATTTAGAAAGAAAAGCATCTTTCTTTATTCCGACAACTACTGTACTACTTTATTCTCGCCTTGCCGCCTTGCTTCCGAATCGAATTTAAAAATGCTTGAAACCAACGCGGGGACAAAATGCTTAGCCCTCACTCCCACATGAAGATCCGAGTCATGCCAAAGACAACTGAGTCAATTCGGAATCTCTGCAAATCGACGCTATATTTGTTCCTCACATTTGTCTCTCCTTTCATTTTGTATCGCTGCATTCGCTTCCTTTCAATGTATTCGTCTTCGTCTACTTCCGCTCCCAAAACCGACGCCGAAATTCTCCGTCGTAAACGAATTGAGAAAAGCAAGCTCTATTTTGATATAACTACCCCCAAGGTAAAATTTATTTTGTCAAGTATTTGTTTTCTAACTAGAAGCTTTGAACTCTTAACTAAAAGAAAAATTACAGGTTCCGATTATCTATTCGTCTTATTACGATATCAGGTTCTTCGGAATTGAAAAACTGTAAGATAAGTTGAATTTGAAATTAAATTTTCATTTCTTTTAAGTAATTTTATGTTCCTTTTCTGGTTATTCAGATAATCAGTTAGTTTTAAAAGTAAGTTTGTTATTCGAGATTGATGTAGGCATCCGTTTGATTCTTCAAAATGGGACCGAATACGCGGGTTCCTGATATCGGAAGGTCACCTAGACAAAAACTCTATTGTTGAGCCATTTGAAGCTTCAACAGATGATCTACTTGTGGTAATTGTATTTTTTTCCCTTTCTTTGTTTATATGCACTGAGGCTGCATGTGTCACGGGCCGGGAGCTTAAGCCTAGTTACCGGAGTCATGCGCGGTCCGTGACACATGTATATTGAGGAAAAAGGAAAATCATAGGTAATTAGTGAAGAAATTTTAGATAATGAGTTATCTATCTCTAGTAGGTGCAGTAAACTTATGTTGACTTTTTTTTTTTGATAATCTCTGGATAGGTGCATACAGAAGCATACTTGAATAGCCTGAATAACAGTGTGAATGTTGCCATGATAACCGAGGTACTTTATAATATTTCCTTTATGCCATAATTTCATTGTTTCTAGTACGCAGTTAATTTTTGTTTTCTTGGAGTTTATTTATTTTGTTGCAATTATCAAGTCTGTTTGCACAACTCTGCTTAAAGATCGGATTATCCAGAAAAAAATAACATGTTACTTGGTTTATTTATTTATTATGATTTTGGGTTCATGGGACATTTTTGTATGTATATTAGTGGCTATGTCTGTTATGGTTTGACGATTTTGGTTGAGGATTAGGTAGTTTCAAATGATGTTATTATACTTCTAGATTAATTCAAAGCAATGTGTTGTGCAGGTTCCTCCTTTAGCAATATTACCCAATTGGCTTGTTCGGATGAAAGTTCTTTCTCCGTTCCGGAGGCAGGTGAAGTCATCATCTCTCTTGGAGCTAATTATATCATTTTCTTTTTTTAGAATGGAGTTTGACTTTTATTTGGGACTAGGATTATTCTGATCATATTGCTACAGGTGGGTGGAACTATTCTGGCAGCTAAGCTCGCGAAGGAGCAAGGATGGGCTATCAATGTTGGAGGAGGGTTTCATCATTGTTCTAGTGGAAGGGGAGGTGGATTTTGTGCATATGCAGACATTTCTCTTTGCATTCATTTTGCATTTTTTCGGTTCACAATATCAAGGTAATAGACCTTAAAGCTTAAAAGTAATAAATGCAGTCCTTGCAATCTTGTGTGGAATCCTAATCTCAACTCCTCAGTTAACATTTATCTTTTAAGAATGGGCTATTTTCCTTATACTTCACATTATTTTTCAGGGTGATGATAATTGATCTAGATGCGCATCAAGGAAATGGTCATGAAATGGATTTTGCTGGTGATGGTAAGGATGCTTGTTTATGCTCATGTTGCTTTAACTTGATGTTATTTTGGACTTTCAATGATTGTGTTTAAACTGACAGGGCGTGTGTATATTTTGGATATGTACAATCCTGATATATACCCATTTGTAAGTGCCTGCTATCTACATTTGTACCGCATTTTCTCTAATTGAATCTGTGTACAGCCTCATCCTATAAACCAATTTACTTCGTCCTTGTAACTGTTATGTTTTTGCTCTATGCAATGAGTTTTGGCTTTCACCTCTTGAAATATCTATATAAGAGGGCAAGTCATCTCACCTTTTACTTTTATTTTCTTTCTTTAAACCCTTTTTCAGGATCTAACTGCTAGAAATTATATTAAGCAGAAGGTTGAAGTAGCGGTGAGCCTCTGGCATCTTATTTATGAATCTAGTTTATTGCTGCCTAGGTCTTTAGCTGATTTAATATTCCCATATATGAATAGACTGGGACAACAACGGATGGGTACTTGAAGGAATTAGATAAAGCACTTCGGGTAAAGATTTCTTTCAGCTATCTTCCACATGTTTCTGTCACTGTTTTTTGCTGGATCTTTTCTTTTCTCAATTCTGATGTCCATATACTCTGTTAGTTGATCTGGTGCACTTATACATCATTATCTGATGCCTTCTCTCCAACAATTCTTCCATTTTATGTGACAGTTTACAAGTTTCTTGGTTTTGACTTTTCATCATTTTCTTTTTATTGTCATCTGTTTTTAGATACATTTAATGCCTTTACTGTGTCTCTACATCTATTCTTTTATTTATTGTTGTTATAATGCATGATGCTTTAATTTTGGTGCATTCAGACATGACTTCATCAGCATTTCTGCCAATTTGTACTTCATCTCTTGCTTTTGCATTTTTTCCTCTGTTATGTTTAGTCTTTCTTTTTAATTACTTGTTATCTTTAACTAATTTTATGTTATAAATAGTGTCGTAAAAAGTTCCTCTTATGCTATTACCACATTATAGTTATTGGTTGTGAATGTCAGGTAGCTAGGGATAATTTTGCCCCTGAGTTGATTATTTACAATGCTGGCACCGATATCCTTGATGGAGATCCACTGGGTGGATTAAAGGTAATTCATCATTGGATCCATTTGCTTAATTTTGTGCTTTCTTATTCTTCTTTTGTCCTGTACTTTTTCCCTTTTATTAGAAGCAAAATGAGATCCTCGTTGGAATCATGCTTACTATGATTATATGGTCTCTGATTTACCAATTCACCTTAACTTTGGTAGAGATTTGTCTATCTGATAATAGGCTGGGAGAGCAGCCTAAATTATCATACAGAAAGAAGGAAGTTGGTGGAAGGAACACATGCCTGTTTTATCTCATATTATGTGCTTACATGGTTATGCTGATTGATAAAAATTTTATAATAATCTTATGAACTCCGCAAATCTTGATTTGCCAACTTATAGTTAAACTGAATGAGAGTGGCATTGATGATGATGCATCTTTGGACCTTTAGAAGCAGAAGAGAATGTTTTTTCTTTTCCTTTATGCTTTAAAAGAAAGCCTTCATTTATAGTGCATTCAGTTCAATAATTACTTCTGAATCAACAGGCAGTAGATAAGTAGCAATGAGGTTGTAAGTTGTAACTTGTAAGATTATCATATAAAACTTAAGAGAAATTTTTTTGGATAGTGCATCTCCGTATCATTAATATTAGTGAGTTTTCACTTATGGCTATTTGTTGCCTTTAATTTTCAGATTAGTCCAGACGGGGTAGCCCAAAGAGATGAGAAGGTCTTCAGGTTTGCTCGTGAGAGAAACATCCCTCTTGTCATGGTCACTTCAGGTTCCGTGTCTTCCAGACTTTATATTTATGTTTGTATGTGGACGACAAATAGGGACATATGCATCCACACAAGAAAGAGATTTGAGACTTTCTTTCTCTACAATCTATATCACCTGTCTTTTGTGGAAACTTATGACTTTATTCAGCAGAAAATCTTCTATTGATTCTGATCCTCTGCCTTGCCTTCTAAGCTTGTTGATTATATTCCTTTTCAATACATAGTTTATAAGTCGGTGTTTCCAGATATCAGTTACTCTAGAATTTCATCTTGCTGGACACATGGTTAAGAAGAAAATCACTAATTGAAGAAAAATATTGGTCCCTAATAATTACTTATTCCTTTTCTGGATGGCCACATTAAATGGCCTCAATATCCCTTGCAGAGGCAAAAGATGCTGCTTTCTCTGTGATTGACAATTTCATTTCCTCCACGTGTATGTTGCAGAAACCAACTAGGCTTAAACCTCAGACCTCTTTAGGTTAAGCAATACGTAATTTTTGTTTCACCCAGTGATTGTTGTTGGTCGTTTTTGCAGCTGCCAAGATATCATTCTCCTGCTTACGCCTTCTTTTAGTGGGGAAAAAAATAGAAAGACTTGCTTATACATTTTCCACTTTATATCAACAAAAATGTGGGATGAAGCTAGGTTTGAGATTATCTGACATTTTGTGAACCCACAACCTGAGATAATGCATGTAGGATAGACATGGCAGATTTTCTTTGAGCATCTTGGAGAATCCATCCTAACAGACCTTATTTTTTTTTCTCGTTTCAGGTGGTTATATGAAAACCAGTGCCCGAGTCGTAGCAGATTCCATAATAAACCTCTCAAGGAAACGCTTGATAGATCTGTCCCCTCGCTATGGAAGAAGATAAACCTGAGATAAACGCTTGATAGGCCCCTTTGCTATTATACACAGTCTATGATAAACGCCATTTCCTCTGAATGATTTCAAGGCACGAATTCAGCTTTCCTCTTGAGTTTGTAAATGGAACGATCCTTAACTATATAACCAAGCAATAAGGGTAAGAAATTAGGAAAAAGTACGAGTTGTAGCAATAATACTCGTGATTGTGTCGGGTGGTTCTTTTGCTGGGTAGTTAACCTTGCAGTTGCGTCCGATAATCTACACATAGATTGGTTAAGATCATAGAAAGTTGTAATGTTCATAATTTTGCGTTGTTTGCAAGGCAATACCGTAGGATTAGCTTTGCCCCTACTTGTCTTCCTCGACGCCTAGGGTTATTGAATAACTGATAAATAAAGAAGCTTGTTTCATGACTAAAAGTTTGTAATTACAAAGTTGTAGCATAGCTCATTTAACAGGGCGGTCCATTTGCCTGCTGCTGCTGCCATTCGCCAGCGTCTTTTTCTCTTGTATTTGCTGTGTTTCTGGACCCGTGTCTCGACTCCAACAGACAAGGGATACGAAGCCGTATTCAGAATGTTGGTTGGCCCAACGTTGAATCGCTGCATCGAAATTGGCGTCAGATTGAAACTGGTTTGTTCATTTTGGATTATCTTTGGTAATATAAAGGTTTAATCAAATCAAAATAATTTAACTTAATGAGATGTGTAATTTGATGGATCAAGGCCGAATGTACGGCAAGCAAAAGCTTTGTGGTATAACATTTTTGCTCTCTTCTTCTCATGCCGAATGGGAGGCCGTCCTCTCTTTCCTGCGATCTACGTTTTTAAAACTAACCCATCGTATCCAATATTTTAAAATTGAATTTAAAAAAATATTGAATAAGAAAAATAAACCTAAAATAAAAAAGAAAATTATTAGGACAATATTCCAATTTTGGTAGCCTTAATTTTAATTAATAAATAACAAGTTGACTCCCGAATCTTTGTACTTACCAGTTGCCAGTCTCGCTCTCCGGCCATTTTTTTTTTTTTTTTCCTTTGTCTCTTCCATTTAATTCCATTGCCCGTCTCTTTCCCTGCGCCAGTCTGCGTAACGTGCGCCGGGTGTCGTTCCAAATGGTGAGAAGATCAGACTTGCCTTCTTACGAGTTTTTTACTTTCTTCTTCGTTACTCTTTTTTGTTTGGCTTCGCTTTCGCTCGCTCAACAACAACAACAACTACTGCTCGCTGATTCGGATCGCTTCGACGTCGATGCAAACGCCACCGTTTCAAATTCTTCCTCTATAACTAAACCAAAGGATGGTACTTTGGCTGCTATCATTGATCGTGCTCTCGAGAAAGATCACTGAGAGCGAACAAAACCAAGGTACACTTCTATCTCTCTCAGATTTTGCTTAGATTAGGGTTTAGGCTTAAATCCATGCATCAGAACCTTACTAATAATGATACTGAACTCAATTATACTTGTTTACTTCAAAATGTTATTTACTGTAGCAATTAATTCTCCTCTTTTATTATTTTTTTTTAAAGATTTTTGAGCGCGATCTATTGTTAGATTATGATTTTTGTTATTAATGCAATGTTTATAAGATCTTAAGATTTAATGAGAGTGCATTTACGTACATTTCCTGGAAATTATATTTGCTATTAATTTTCCATTTTTTTCTTTAAAACTTTGTGTCAATTATAGTATAAATTCCTCATGTGATACTAAGCATGCACGGACGGCTCTTTGGAATTTTAAATAAATTCGGTGGATAATTCAACGTTTAAGGAAAAAAAAAAAAAAAAAGATGTCAATGAGTATGAGTAGGGTACAGAAAAGGTATAGCATTTCTCATTTCTGAATTTTTATATCATATTTATTTCCGTACTTGTATTCAATAGGTATTTTAAATTTATACTCATTTCGTGCGTATTTAATAGTTACGTGATAATTCCCATACCCCTAACTTAAAAAATAAAAATAAAAACCAATAATTATCTTTTTAGCTTTTTAAATTTTTATAAATATATATTAATATATATTTTTTCAATAAAAATATATTAATTTTAATTAATTTAAAATAATAATTTATATTATTTAATAAAAAATTTATTTATTAAATATATATAAATATATGTGTAGGGTATGGATACGGAGTGGGTGCTATATTACCTTTTCTCATCCCCATACGTAATAAAAAATTAAAATTATATCCATTTTTATCTTTATCTTTATATTCATAATATAATATCTATCTCTATCCCTATTGGAATAAAAAGTCGGTTCCCCATTGGGTACGGATAATATTGATATCTATTAAAAAAAATCAAGGTATTAAAGGTTTCCAAAAATGTCTGGCTCAAATTCCCATTTTGGAGTTGTCGGCTGCCATTAGTTCCTTATAGAATATAAATCCAAAGGAAATTCCGATGCCGACTTTTTTTGTTGGCAGTAAGTGATGATGCTGGAAGTTTCAACAACAGTGTAGCAGAACAGCAGGTTGGTAGTAGTTATTCTTTTGAAAACTTTTCTGCTTGAAGAACTTGCTAACCTATTTTTTTACATGTGTTTGTTTATCAGGCTGTTTTGGAAACTGTAGCCAGAGTTAAGCCAAAGAAAAATGACACAAAAGAGGAAAAGTATGTGCTTCTCCGTAGTAATTAGTAGATTTCATTTGTAGCTTTTTAGTTATGATTACTTTAGCTGTTAATAGAAGAATGTATTTTATCTTTATGATAAAAAGAGTTGAACGTATTTCATACCATTTCTTTTATATAACTAATTAGAAACATGTAGTCTCTCTCACCTTTTGCATCCTCGTTATAGATCATTTCAACTCCATGATGTTTTCAATCTAGACAATGATAACAGAGCTGAAGATACACCTATGTTAATAGATTGAAAGATTAGATTGGTTGACTTGAAACTTCATGTCAAAATATATTTTCACAGTTACAAGTCTGAGATGTTGGTTTCTTTTCAGGACGTCTTCATTATATCTAATTTTAAATCAAAATATCCTGTATTATAGCTAGACTTAAGGTAAACATTTTATTATCTTCAGTTTTATTGAAGTTTCTTTTTACATTCAACTAATAAGCTGATCTAAACCTTTTTTGCTTATTCTATGTAGAATTATATCAGATTTGGTAGTTGTCATCATGTCTGCAACTTGTTGTGGCATTGCATTTGCTTGTGCTGGGCAACCGGTCTGATTGTATTGATATAAGCTTAGCTAATCTTTGACTTCAATGTTGGGTTCTACCTGAATGTCTTGGTTTACTAATTTCCTATATATTTGTTGACTGTTTTATTTTATACAGGTGATTACTGGATATTTGTTGGCAGGATCTCCTATTGGACCTGGGGGTTTTCGCTTTGTCAGTGAAATGGTGCAAGTATGTTGTCTATTTCATTAAAGTTTACCTGATGGCTTATTTATTGAATCCTGTATAACTGTTCTGAATGATGGTTTCTTTATCATAATGTCACAGTTCACTCTTTTGCATATGGAGCCCTTATTATGAAAAGTGATTGCTGTTTTAATTTTCATTTCTTCATCTCAATTAATATTAGTTATTATGATTCGTTAGAGTTCATCCAAAGCCTAAACAACGTTAAGCCCTTGTTGACTTGTTCTTGTGAAGCATGTCTTTGTCTTTTTTCCTTTTAAAAAAGGAATTTATTTTAATGGGCATATTATATTACAGTCAGTAGTTGGTGCCTCTATCTAATGAGGGTAATGATTAACAATAAACATAGAGGCCATGGTTTTATGATTTTAAGTGCCAGTAAGTAATATTGTGTGATTACACTCTGTTGTGCAATAGTTGGCAACTGAATTTGAATTGTCTAGTAGTTCTTGGGAATGACTTGGACATCTGATGTTTCCTTACTATTTATTTGCTAGGATCGTGATCCTAGTCCATGGCAGGCTGTTTCATTCTAATTCCATGTTTATTGGTGTATTCTTGTATTTGTTCTTTTTCAGGTGAATCATGCAGGTTGAAACGGTAGCTCAATTTGGCGTGATTTTTCTTCTTTTTGCACTGGGCCTAGAGTTCTCCGTTGGAAAGGTTGGCTTATGTTTCTGAACTTATTACTTTCTATTTTATGTTATACTTGTCTAACAACATTCTTAAAATCATGCATCTAACCTCATCCTTCTTATTTTAAGCTTTGAGCTGTTCAAGCAGTTGCTGTCCTAGGAGGGCTACTCCAGATAATTCTATTTATGTGTCTCTGTGTAATTACAGCCTCAGTATGTCTATTAATTTTAACATAAAGTCTGTAGGTTTTGGTTCAGTAATCTTTTATTAAGTAATGTCATCACCTTCACCTGAATCTGAGCTCACTGAGGTTGCATGAGTTATCTTTAAAGTCACTGAGGTTTCACAAGTTATATTTAAGTTAATCAAAAGGGAAAGAAATTGTATCTATAGTGAGTTAGCATCATTTCACATTATGTCTGATCATAAAGAAGTTTTTGCTGCTATGCTGTTCAAAACTTAAATATTTCCTGCTACTTGATTTCAAATATGATTTTTAGTTTGGTTTTGTATTTATGATATGCTTTAGCTGAATATAGTTAAGGTACATTATGTCTGATCATAAAGAAATTTTTGCTGCTATGCTGTTCAAAAATTAAATATTACTTGCTACTTGACTTCAAATATGATCTTTAGTTTGCTTTTGCATTTATGATATGCTTTAGCTGAATATAGTTAAGTTACATGCTTCAGTGCTAACTTGTTTTCTTTCTTATTTTTCTTGTTATTATAGACCATGTTATACCTCAATATTAACTCTGAATCCTGCTGTTTAAATTGTTTGCTGTTTGCAGTTATGTGGTGGTAGACTTTCAGAGGGTGTCTTTGTTGGTGTATTCCTTTCAATGTCTTCAACAGCTGTGGTAAAGTTTAGCACCTATCTTTCAGAGACACCTACAGCACCTAAACATTCATACTTGCACTCACTGATGAGCACACATATGGATACACTTCACACGAGTTTAGACACCCTCGCACTCCTTGTAGAGTCCTTTATCTTTGTTTAGTATTTTTTGTTTTAATGTTGTTTTTTTCTATTTTTCAATGGTAGGTGCTAAAATTTTTGATGGAGAAGAATTCTACGAATATGCTTCATGGCCAGGTCGGCATTGGCACTCTTATCCTGCAGGTATTGATTCCTTCAATCCATTGTCCTATCTTGAATTCTTGTTTTCTTTTCTAGAATTTATTTATGCCTTCTGGCAGTCAACTCAATGATATGAATCTTTTTCAATTACTCTGGTGTCCTGAGAAGTTTTTTAACTTTGCAGGATTGTGCTGTGGGATTGCTATTTGCGTTGCTTCCAGTTCTTGGTGGAACTTCTGGTTTACTTCAAGGAGTAATATCCATGACTAAACTGTATGGTGAAAACTTGCAGAAATGTCACTTTCCTAGTTTCATATCTCTCTCTGCATTAG